GCAGACCAGATCTTTGTGGGACAATTGAAAGACCCCCAGAGTGGGGAAACCCTCACTCAAGTCTCGGGATAAGCCGACGCCCCAATAATTCAAGAGAGACCGTTCTTGCTGCAAGCACATGAGGTTTATTTGGGGAACCAGTGCACTGGGGCCGAGCTCATGACCCTCACAGGGGCAGAGGAGTTCGATCCCTAGTAGCTGCAGTTGGGGGTTTTTAAAAGGGAAAAACTGAATCGTGGAGTTAGGCAAACATCATAAACATAACGGATGAGGAAGTTAAATGATAGCTTATGTCTTAACAGGAAGGTTATCTCTAGCAAGCATTCTTTAGACATGGAGCAGGAATGTGGTGAGCTAGTTCCTGGATGAGGGAGGGTTATCTTTTACGTTTATCTTGAGGTCTCCGGTTTCTCAGGAGAGGGCAGAAGGGCAAGTCACTCTGTGATGGGCTAGTCGCTAGGGGTCTAAAAATGTTGAGTTGGGATCTCTCACAATTTTGCTTTAAAGTACTGGACTAGACCAAGGTGGACAAAGAAGACTGTGTTTCCATGCAGACAGAAGCTGGTGTTTCTCTGGTTTTCAATTAGAACCTTTTGATGACTCCAAGTCTGGCTAAGAAACAAGGCTAAGGGCTTCCTCAGGCCTTGTGCTCAGTCTTGGCCTCTAAGAGAAGGCAAAGCTTTTCCCCTCTCCAGACCTGCATGTTTACTGCTGCTTGTTCCCAGAAGCACTTCCTTTCTGTACTCAGGGCCCTTTCTCTGCCCATTGCACTTTTGCCTGGATTTGATATCAGAGAAACCATGTATTAAAGTCACAGGCACCTTTATTTCTGGCCCCTCCCACCTCCCCCTGCTCTTGGCTCTCTCTTCCTTTTCCAATTTCCCAGCCCAGCTCATTCCATCTGGGTTATCTCAAAAGACCTTCGCAGAGGAAGTGATGCATCTGCATATGCTGGGTAAAGGGAAAAGGAAGAGTCTTTGAGATAAAGAAATGAACAAAGACATGGAAAGGACAAGGTGGCTCTGCCCCCAGGGAGGGACAAGAAGACCAGTTGTGGGAGCAGAAGAACCAGCTCAGATGCCCAGAAGTGAGAGGAGAGCCAGGATCCATTGGTTAAAAGGGTGTTGCCTTTGGGTGGTGGTGGCTCACCCCTTTAATCCCAGCAATTGGGAGGCAGAGGCAGGAGGATCTCTGTGAGTTCAAGGCCAACTTGGTCTACAAAGAGAGTTCCAGGACAGCCAGGGCTGTTGCACAAGAAACCCTGTCTCAAGAAACCAAAAAAAAAAAAAAAAAAAAAAAAAAAAAAAAAAAGGGATGTTGCCATATCAGGAACGATAGCAGGAAAATAAAGCTCCTGAGACGAACATGAAAGTATTTTTTTTTTTTTGGTTTTTCGAGACAGGGTTTCTCTGTAGCTTTGGAGGCTGTCCTGGAACTCACTTTGTAGACCAGGCTGGCCTCAAACTCATAGAGATCCTCCGGCCTCTGCCTCCCGAGTGCTGGGATTAAAGGCGTGCGCCACCAATGCCCAGCGAACATGAAACTATTATCCAAACAAAGATAGTTAAAGATAGTTGAAGTGAAAACAGGGAATGCTGCAGGCCTACTGAGACATCTCTAGTCCCATACAAGAGTGCATGTGTGTGTGTGTGTGTGTGTGTGCGTGTGTGCGTGTGTGTGTGTGTGTGTGTGTGTGTGTGTGTGTGTGTGTGTGTGCATAAACACACGCAATGATCAAATCTGTCTGGGCGTACGGAGAGTGGACTGTAGGAATGGCTGCAGGAATCTATGAGGCTTCTCACCCTCACAGGCAGGCCCATACAGCTGCCCCTAGGCTTCCTGTGCTCCAGGATAGCTATGAATGCAGATTAGCACATTTGAAGATCACAATGTTGTGTTACAAGGTCAAAGATCATCCCACCCCCAAGCCCCAGAGGCCATGGGATTTGGCCAGTGGGCAGCACAGGCAGGAAGTAGGGGCAGTGAGGACACTCTTCCTCCCAGCCACTTGGGACCTTGTGACTTCCTTCCCTCTTCCTAAGCCACAGCTTTCATAATTGCTGGTTATTATTGTCAAGGGCCAATCTACTGCTCTGTTGGCCCACTATGGGCTGGACATGTTTTACATGGCTTGATGCTTCATGTGCTGAAGGTTGGTCCCCACCGAGGTGGTATGGAAATGGTGGAATCTGGAAGAGGCGTGCCTAGTGGAAAGTAATTATGTCCTAGGGTCATTGTCCTTGGAAGAGACTAATGGTGCTCTCTCAGATTGAATTATTTCTCCCAGGAGAGTTAATCGTTATAAAAGGGAGAGACCAGTCTTTAAAGCTGCCTGGTTTCCTGTTTCCTACACGAACCTTTTTGCTTGTGACCCTGCACCTGCCATTCTTACCCTGTCCAGAAGGGGGCCCTCACAGAGGCCAGTCTAACTGTCTTTTCACCCCCTGAAACTTTGGGAACGTTTCAAGGGGTTTTATTTACTTATTTTTGAAGACAGGGTTTCTCCATGTGACAGCCCTGGCTGTCCTGGAACTGGCTCTGTAGACCAGGTTGGTCTTGAACTCACAGAGATCCTCCTGCCTCTGCCTCCGGAATGCTGGGATTAAAGTTATGTGCCACCGTCCCCAGATTCAATATTTATTTTTGTTTGTGTGTATGTGTCTGTGTGAGTGTATACCACCTATGTGTGGATGCCTGTTGGGGGAAGTCCTTCTGTGTATATGTTGATAAATAAAATACTGTTGGCCAATAGGGAAGCAAGATAGGTGGGACTAGGAGTTACAGAGGATTCTGGGAAATGTAGTTAAGAGTAGGGAGTTGTTGCTGCATGATCGTGGGGAGAGGATGCATGAGGCTGAGTCCTTGGTAAGATAAGACCTTATAAAAATATATATTAGTAATTATGGGCTAATAATTAAGTCAGAGCTAGCCAATAAGAAACAAAGACCCAGCACTCGGGAGGCAGGCGGATCTCTGTGAGTTCGAGGCTGGGCTGGACTGACAGCCTCCAAAACAATATAGAGAAACCCTGTCTCGTAAAACCAAAAAAAAAAAAAAAAAAAAAAAAAAAAGAAAAAGAAAAAGAAAAAGAAAACAGCCAACAGCTTCACAATTAATATAGTGTCTTGTGTGTTATTTGGGGGCTAAAGCAGCGACAGGATCTAGGTGGCTGGCGCGAGGAATGCACCTTACAGATGCCCACAGAAATCAGAAGGTAGCATCGGACTCTCTGGAATTGCATGTAGTTGTGAACCACCTGCTGTGGGTGATGGGAACAGATTTCAGGTCCTTCTGGAAGAGCAGCAAGTGTCCTACCCATGGACCCATCTATCAATTTCCAAAAACAGTGAACTATAAACCTCATTTCCTTTTATATCACCCAACCTCAGGTATTTTGTTCTAACACCAGGAAATAGACTAAAAGACTGCTCTGTGAGGCCTGGAGAAGGTCAGTCTTCACTGTGTTGGCTCAAGAGTCAACACCTGGCAATCTCCTTGAACCCTCATTACACATAAGAGATATCCTTAGCAAAACTTCCTTAAATGGTCCAGTGTGAAGTCCATTGATGCCATTACTCTCTTGCCATGACACTGACTCATGTAAACCATCTTTTTTTTTCATTTTAGCCATTTTTAATGAAATATTCAACTTGGTAAGTACATGTAGATTTGGCAGCTATTGATTTGGCAATTTTCTGCTATTGAGATTGATATAATATCTGTAACGAAAGATCAGAGAGAGGAGTCCAGGTTTGCTGCCCTCATGTGCCAGATAAAGATCATATTTTTATTGTCAATTATAAAGTTAATTCCATTCTCACTGAAATAATATATGGGTAAACCCACTTTTTTTTGTTTTTCAAAACAGGATTTCTCTGTAGCTTTGGAGTCTGTCCTGGAACTCGCTCTGTAGACCAGGCTGGCCTTGAACTCACAGAGACCCACCTGTCTTTGTCCCTCCAGTGCTGGGATTAAAGGCATGCGCCACCACCCCCAGACCCCCAAGTTCCCTCTTAAGATATTATTTGTAGGTATTTGACAGAGAATGTGTGACAGCATTGCTTTAGGAATGATGCAGTGATCTATTATTTATGATTTAATAAAGATTGCCTGAAGGATCAAAATGCAAAGCCAGCCATACTAGCTAGCTACAGAAGCTGGGTGGTGGTGGCACACACCATTAATCCCAGGACTCAGTGGACAGAGGAGGATGGATCTCTTTGAGTCCAAGGCTACCCAGGTCTACACAAGACTGAATCAGTCTAAAAGAGAAACAGCTCACACAAAGGAGATCTCACGCCTTTAACCCCAACTCTGGAGAGGTATATAGGGTAGGAGCAGACATTCGGTCTGGGGCAATTATGGCAATTTGGTCTCCAGCCACATTGAGGGCAGTTTTGTTTCAGCCTGGGTAGAGGTAAGAGCTATTGGCTTGGCTGCTTTGCTTTGAACTTCAGTTTGAAGCTTGAACCCTAGAATTTGTCTCTGGGTTTTTATTTTTCATGTTACAAAACACTGTCTGGAGTCCTGTCCCCAGCACTAAACAGAATCCAGAGAACAAGAGCTACCACATTCTCCATCTGCTTCCAAACTTGATCTAAGTGTTCCTTTGTACCAGACTAGTCCTTAGACAGGTGCATCTAGGTAAAGCATGGAGAACGAGAATAAAAAGGCACCAACGAAGAGGAACTGACTTACTATGTTAGAGGAAATTTGATTTAGACATACATCACACTTAACAACTGAAAACTAAATTTTCATATTCCAAACCTAAGAATCATGGTCAATGATTTTTAACAATTTGTCCTTGTCCCTTAGTGGAACAATGAATTAGATTTGAGGCAAGGGAAATGAGTGATTTTAAACTCCTCCCAAAGGATCTAAAACACTTACAGGGAATGTTGTTGTATCTCTTGATTTCTAGAGGATAAATAGGGATCCAGGAGAGACCCAGGACAGTCTGGCTTCCATGTGAGAAGAGTGCCAGAAAACCCCCTACACTAGATTAGAGGGGCACTGATGGAGTCTTTCAGGATTTTCTTCACGATGATCTTGGTGTCCTGGGCAGCTAAGTGAAGCACACGTCTGTGTATTATGCGTCTGAACCGGGGGACACAGCAATGTAAGCACGAGAGACATTTAACAGTGATGGAGAATGCACTCCGGAGAGCACAAGTCATCAGTCTCAGTCTCCAGTCCCCTCTGCAGAGAGTGCACCTGTTTTGGGACTTCATGCTGGCCTTGTACTCTAGTAATACTGTACCCAGGCTCAGGGCTACCTGCTGAAGTGATTGATCATTTATACCAAACTGTAGTCGGTACACTTTCACACACTCTTCCATGTCATCATTGTCCCTGATGCAAATGGAATGCTCCGAACATCCGCCATCTAGTCTCTCCTTCAAGGAGGCCACTCTCTCATCAATGATCTTCTCACATGTGTAACAGAGAGTGTTTAAGGGCACACAGCACCTGATGCTGGAGAGGTCTTTATGCAGTGTGTCTCTAAGCTTTGGGAAGTCATATAGTAGAGTTTCTAGATTGGATACCAAGTATATGGGGGGTATGTTCATCCTCTCCTGGATATTCTCCTGTATACTCTGTAGAAGACGGACCTCTGAAAGGACACATGTACTGAGGTCCCTGTCCAGCTTGGTACAGACAATATAGAACCTCTTCCCCATCCTCTGGATGAGCTTGGCAAGATTCACATGATTCGAGCTAAACTGCTCAGAGGCGATGATGATGAACAAGTCATACATGTTGAATTTCATCTATTTTCCATAGTTATCTATGGTTTGGGCTGTAGCCCCCAAGCCAGGCAGGTCCCACAGTATCACATTGGGAAACTGGGATGAAGAGTACTTCACCCGTGTCTGGGTGGTCCTCACCACCCCAGTGGGAGCCGAGTCATCTTCCTCATGGTCAATCATTCGGAGTGCATTGATGGAAGATGACATGCCATTGCCGGCGTCCCCAGTCAGAGTGATGTTCACTGGAGTTTGGGACAATGCTGCCATGGTCTCCTTGACCCCATACACCACGTCTAGAATTTTCCCTTTTCTCAAGGCCGTTTCAACGGTCCTGCTGATGTCAGGTAAAATGCTGCCCCCTGTTTGATATAACGTGGCAAAGGGGGAGGACGAATTCTGTGGAGCAAAAGGGGTCTCTGCCATGTTGGGGAGTAGTGGCTCAACCTGTAGAATGGTAGAAGAGTTGTGGAGTTAGACATGGCGGGTTATGGGAACCAACAGACTTCATATCACAACCTCGGGGTTCTGGATCCACAACCACGGAATAGCAAAGACGTTTCATTTACAAACAGAATGGTTCAGGAAATGATTGCACATTCACAGAGAGGTGCTCAGGAGGATGTTTGTGCAGCCGTTGTGTGAAGGGTGGTAGTTCTGAAGCAGGATGCTCCCATTAGTCAGATCACCCAGTGGGAACACAGGTCAGTCTAAGCGAGTAGGCAGGATGGACAACTGAAAATGTGAAGGCTAGCTCTCCTCACTAAGCCACGTGCTGGTGAGGACCTGCAAGCCTACTGTATAATTGAGTTATTCCTTTCTAAATAGTACACAGCCTTTTCCTTTTTCAAAAGACATTTTTTTAAATTGGGGATAGCATTTTTCTAAGAAATGCTCATCTCTCATCAACTTCAACAGATAAAACAATTTCTAAATAGTCTGCCACTGATGTCTTGGTCAGTACTTATGTTTGGATATTTCTGTGTGTGACTATTGGTAACATTATTATTGGAGGGACTCAAGTTGAAGTGTGAGTGCAGATTTTTCTTGCTGGCTGGTGGCTTGCAATGAAATTAGTGGGACTGGCCCAGGACTGAGAAAAGGACTGGGTGGGCTCACCAAGTGGGTTCTACACAAAGTTACAACACAAGCTGCTCCTTACGGATGGACTATGCTATCCTCTCTGAAAATTCAACTTTCTTCTTAGGCAGGATCATAAATAAAAACATTCTATCACCCAGGGCTAGTGAGATGGCTCAGTAGCTAAGGACACTTGACGTTGAATCTAATGATCTGAGTTCAATCCCAAGAACCCACATAGAGAGAGAACTGACTCCCAAAATTTGTCCTCCAACCACCCTCACATGCATGCTTGAGCATATGCACACACACACACACACACACACACACACACACACACACACACAATGTAATAAATTAAAACAATTCTGAAATCCAAGGCCTTTTTTTTCTTTTAAATAGAGCCTTTCTGTCACATTAGGAACATCCAATGGAACACCTGGAGATATGTCTTGTCCTTACATTGAGTGGGGATGTTTCTCTAGAAGACCCCATTATTTATCTGTGGGACACATTCATGACCATGATACATCCTCGGGCAGCTTCCCAGCTTCCATAATATCCTTGGGCTTGGGCACCCCATTCACATATGCCTCTCCTGGGATTGCACCTGAGTATAACCCAGTTCTGCTCGCCACAGCCTTGCTATCCAGTCTTGGGACTTGGATTTATCCTCTACAAAAGGAAATGGGCCTAGAGACCATCCTGTGTTCGAGGCACTCAGCTCTTTGTAACATGGACACACTCCTGGAACTTCAGGTTTCTGCCTCAAGCATCAGAAAATCATGCTACCCACCTCCCAGGACTTGTGAGATGGTTTCATGACAAGGTCCGTGTGATGCTCTCTGCACACCTCTCAGCTCTCTTGGTGAGGCTCTCTGGTTTTACTGGGGTCTCCGAGGAAGCCGTTCCTCGGGTTCTTCCTGCACTCTTCCACTTTAACGACACAGCAAGAAGGTCCTGTGTCTGTGAGTCTGGGTTGGGTCCTTCGAATGCCTTATCTCACGTAATAGTCCTCAAACCCTATTAGATAAGTGGTATTCATTATTGATCATTGTGGGTGAAGAAACAAAGAATTATGAATAGTTTAATAGTCTTTTTATTTTTTTAGACAGGGTCTTGCTTTGTAACCCACGCTGACCTCAAATTTATGATCCTCCTGTCTCAGTCTCTCTAGTACTGGGATTACACGGGCATACCACCATGTCTAAGAACCAGTCTTGAATTACACACAGAGTGTAAGGACTCTAAAGTTGATCCCTGGAATGGCACTCCGTGTTTCTGCCTGTCTAGTGAAGACAATCCTACTCAATAGAGGCTGTGATGTGTGCTGAGGGGCTTCCCTAGGAAGCCCTGGTCTACCCACTGCCACCAGTTGCCATTGACACACTTATATGGACACGTATTTTATAATTTTGGAAACCAAAGAGTTCTGTAGTCTTTTATGTGCACCCTACAACTGAACTGCAATAGTAAAGGAAATTCCCCCAGTGTCTCCAGCTACTCGGAACTTGTTTTGGGGTTAAGCTCATCAAGAGACCATGATGCTTCATCAAATGATCACAAAGAGGTCCAGAGTTCAGTGGGAGGGAGAATATGGGAAAGATTGCTGTCATGTATCACATCTGCATAGAGGCTGCAAGCCCTTTAAGCCAGCAACTATGGAGACTATTCAGAGCCCTCCTCCAGCAGTTCCTGCATCAGATCTGAGATGACAGGGCTCAAACCGGGCGCTGCTTTCTGCCTCAGAGTGTCAAGGTGCCACGAACTGGGTATATAGGCACCATGGTGGGTTGGTATATTCTGAGGCAAAGTTGGCTGGAAGTCAGGGCAATGAAGCCAGACAAAGAGAGCACATTTTGCAATGGTGTGTGGAGATGGGGGGTGGGCAGAAAAAAGCGGTGCAACATTTAGTAGTGTCTTGTCCCCAAGGCAGCTCTCCTCCCTTGCCTGTTATTGGCCAAGGTCTCATTCTGTGTCTGCTTTGCTTTACCATGAGTTTTACTCACCAGAAGAAGATGAGTGCAAACCATGCTTTTGCTCAGAACCATTTATGTCACTGTGACTGGAGATGGGGACTTCTCACACTTGTACACCCTGTACTAGACCCTGTGGGAGATGGTGCAGGTCAGGGCTACACACAGGATCCAGGAACTCTCAAGAGGGCTGTGTCCTGCTGCAGTCTGTGTATTACAAGTAGACCATGGACAAGGCCATGAGTAACTGGGTGAAGCTGCAAGTTCCTTCCGGAGCCACTCTGTAGAGTGTTGTGGTGGATAGCCTCAGAGTACTGTAGCTCAGAACAGTGACCCAGTGTCTGAAAAGAATTCTTGTTGAGACTCATGTGTCCCCCATTTCCCTTTTTTTGAGGATCCTTTCCAGATTATACCCCTATTTCACCCCACTCTGTAAAGGTTGAAGATTCCCATGCAAGAATGTAGATCCTTGTGGATTTTGGAGGCAGCTTAAGAAGAAGATGCAATTAGAGAGGGGAGCTGGGTCTGGGAAGAAGAATCAGACGTGGGCAGTGTCTTTGAAGTCTCCCAACAGACACAGAACTGAGAGCATGCTCACACACACTTGTCCATAGCTGCATGGAAGGTGGTAGGTACCATACAATTCACTCTGGCACTATTTTATTCCATTTAGTTCACTGAACTGAGTTTTACTATTTTCTAACTTGAAAACATGCTTATTATAATACACTAAATAAATTTCATGGCTTACCTGATGTAAAATGAAGCACATTTACAAGTGGTTTTTATTTATTTATTTCCGTATAGGGCTCTATGTAGTTCACATATCACACCACTGTTATGAATCTCCATCAGAAAGATTCATGGAAATGTGGGAACCAGATTAGACTAAGTAATGAACCTGAAATCAAGGATTTTTGTGAACTAATATCCTTGTGTGTTCTAAAACCCTCATTTATTATTCATTCCTTATTCCTTATTTGATCACCATTAGGAAAGACTGACAGAAAACTCAAGATGTTTATTTATCTCTGGAGAATATGATAAACTTCCTCAAGGTGAATGGGGACAATACTGAGTCCAGCTGCTCGGGGAAGATAGTGTTTGAAAAGTTAGTAAATTTATAGATGAGTTAGTGAGTTGGTGCCTTAAACAGAGTCACTGCAACACAAATAAAACATTTGGATGGAGTCAGACAAAAAGGTCACTAAGCTACCTTATATTAAAACCCACCCTGAGGTCTAGACAAGAAACAACTCCTTTTTCTTTCATATTTTTCATCTATCTTAGATACTGCCTGTGGTCCATTCTGATCGTGGGATGTATTCTTATGGAGAGATGAAGAGGAGCTATCTTAGGTCCCAAGAGAACATGGGCTGGCACGCTCTGCCCTCTTTCTTCAAATTTAGCCACCAGTAGAAAACCCACAGGCTAGGCTTATGCAGGTGAGCTAGACATTTGCCTTCATGCTGGTGGCTTGGATGGATTTGAGCAGCAAAGATGGTTCAGTGCTGTGTGGTACTGAAGTCAGAGAGGGGCCCTGCCCAAGCAAAAAAATAGGCAAGATCTAGGGTTCTGTGACCTGGTGTCACAGTCCTACTTTTCGTATCTTAAAGACAGAAGTTGTGGGAGACTGGCGGTGAACAGGCTGCATTGAAGAGGCTTTTACTTACCAGCTGCAGAGGAGGGATTAAGTGGGGTCCGGATGTTAGCTGCCTTTCAGAAAAACGTTGCTGTCCTCCAGCAGTTCTCTCCCGAGCGATCTAGAACTGGAATGCAGACCCAGAAAGTCCAGAGATGAGATGCAGAGGTCTGGGGTTCTTCCAAGAGATGGTCAGGAGGAGTAGGAGCTGGCTAACTGAGCAAGTGGATTGCCTCCTTTCTGCCTCTGGTCTCTGTGCAGACCTTGTTTTTTTTTTTTTTTTTTTTTTTTTGGCCGGCTGTTGCGATATCTGAGTTCTGCTTGGCAAGGCTGGGAGGGGGAGTGCACTCCAGTGAGAATAGGTTTCAGTTTCAATTCCTGGAAAACAGCTGGTTTGAAGGATTAGGCTGGGCAGGCTACATAGTATTCTTTACAGAGTGGACAGAGTGTTGCTCGGCTGATCTGAGTTCAACATAAGTAAGGATGGGGGAGGGGTGAGGGATGGGTGGGTGATGGATGAGTCCTTGAGTCAGGGGTTTGCCATGTCTGCTTAGGGACCTTAACAGCCAGCCCAGGGTCAGAGCATCCTGTGTTAGCACCTGCTCCTTCTTTCCATGGACACCACCTGGGTAATGCTAACCTTCAGATCTGCAAACTCTGGCCCCTCGGGTGCTTGGAGACACGGCTGCAACCTTGTTCTGTGTGAGTGTTCTCCCTGGCTGCCAGCTCCCGTGATTCTCCTGACCTCACTGTCTTCATAAAGGAGAAAGCCAGAGCACCAGGGAGTGGGGAGTCAGGCTCTGGTCCTCGCAGTCGGTGTTTGAGTGGGAAGGGGGTCTGAGCTGAGAAGGGCAGTTTTCATTTCCCTAAGATCCAGGAGCTAGTTTATTAGATGGACACCTGAGCAAAAGCAGGAATTGGAGACTCTGGTCCTGGCATAGACGCATTGCCCCCATGTGATGTTTTCATGACGAAAAGCAGAAGTGTTCTCTAGCGACTGGCACAGGCTCAGTGACAGAGGGGACAGGCGAGAGGAGCCATGTTGCTTTCAGAGGGTCAGGGCAGCTCTGTCATTCAGTCCCTTTGCTGCTTTTCTGTACCTCCTGGCACAGCTGAGTCACGAGGAGCAGGGGTGTGCATGCAAGCAGAGCTGAGCCTGTTTCAGAGTCACCGTGCAGTGAGATGGGCTGGGCAGGGAGGGAGGAGGAGGCTCACACAGGCACTTCCCAGTGCCCTGAACACAACTTCTGCTGACTGGGGGACTTGTTGCCCAGAGGTCTGTGAAATATGACCCTCTGTCACCTCTCCAGGTGACCAGTAGTATGATCCTCTACTTGTTATGGTAGCTTTTGCTTTCTCCTTCCTGGAAAAGACTGAGTTTCTGAGAAGAGGACTAAGTAGGAACTTTTTTTTTCATTCCTGTTCTTGTTTAATTAACTGGAGTTTTGAGTGATAGCCAGAGGCTGTCCCTCCTTTTTGCTTCCCTCTAAGTCCTTGGCCTGGGTAGAAACCAGACTACTGCAAGTCTGGCTGATTTCGATCTGTCTTTAGAGATTGGTGGGGCCTGTCTATCTGTTCTGCTTTCTTTATGTGATTTTCATAAGAACAAAGAGGAACAGGTCTTAGGGCAGTACAGGAAGATCAGAAAGAGAGTTTCTGGAACCTTTTATGTCAGTGAGCCAGAATTCCAACCCAGGTTCCCTGGACCTCAGAGTCAGTCCTCTCGTGCTCTTGCTCCTGGAGAGGAACCGAGGCTGGTACCACAGGCCTTGTATGATTGGGCATCAGGGGAAGGCTTCTTAAGTCAGGATGACATAATGGTTGGATGCAGAGTGTGAGCACAGAGGATAATCAGAACTCAGGCAGCCTATCCTTGAAAAGGCCATTTGTATTTGGTGAGGTGGTCTGCAGTTAGACCTCCCTGATGAGGCTAGGCTGATGGTTAACTTCAGGTGGTCGCCTGTTTAGAAGCTGCCTGGGTAAACTGCCATGGGGACACATGCTAATCTATTTAGTTGAGAGATGGAGATAAGGAGAGTAGTTGCAGACTACTACTTTGTATTATAATAGCGAGTTCCAGGCCCTGGCTGTCCTGGAACTCATGCTATAGACCAGGCTGGCCTTGAACTCCACCTGAATCTGCCTCCTGAGTGCTGGAACTAAAGGCGTGAGCTTCCATGACCAACACAGACCCTTAACATCTGAGTTACTCAAGATCCTACTTCAAGGGCTGGAGAGATGGCTCAGCAGTTAAGGGCACTGACAGCTCTTCCAGAGGACCCTGGTTCAATTCCCAGCACCCACATGATAGCTCACAGCTGTCTGTAACTCCTGTTCCTGGAGACCCTGACACCCATGGCAAAATACCAATGCACATGAAATAAGAATTAATAAAAAAAAGTACCTACTTCAACAGGCTTTTACTTTGGTAAATCATTAATTCACTGTAGATAGACCATAAAGTATTCAGTACTGGTGATTCGCTGTTTACTTTCTCTGACACTGAAGTGACAGTGGGGACTGCCTCTCTCCTGCCCTTGGCCCTTTCGGTCAACAATGATTTCCTGGTACTGTCTGTCCATTGCCACAGCAGGTTACACTCCACACAAAGACTCACGCTGACTCACTCTGCAGACCTGTCAATCAATATCATACCTACCACACATGGAGGCATGCCCATGTCCAGACACATGCACAAATCCATATGCACACACACACACACACACACACACACACACACACACACACACACACACACACACTATAAACACCTTGCAGCCACAGAGCCTTGTATCCACTATTGGGACAGGCTAAAGAAGCCATCTTCAATTTGCTTTGTGACTAGAGAAAGAGCCCTCGTATTTCTGTTAGGGGTAATGTAGGTATCTAGCTCCAAGCTCAGCAAATATAGTTTCTCATGGACATTTATTATTATTATTATTATTATTATTATTATTATTTTGGTTTTTAGAGACAGGATTTCTCTGTGTAGCCCTGGCTGTCCTGGAACTCTGTAGACCAGGCTGGTCTCCAATTCAGAGATCCACCTGTTGGAGTGCTAGGGTTAAAAGTGTACAGCACCGCCACCACCACCCAGTGGACCTCGTTCCTGTGTGTGACTCCAACTCACAGAAGGGTTGTATACTGGAGCATGGAGGAGGCCCCGACAGTAAGGGCTTTCCTGGTCTCCTGCTCTCACAGGGTTGGGGACACGTGCCATTCTTCCTCCCACAAAGCACCCTCAGAGGTAATCTATCACAGGCTGTCAAGCTTAGAGCTCAGTTATCATGAAGACACACCTCAGTTCTTCAGCATACAGAACTGTACTGTGACTCCCACAAGGAAAGCATGGTGTTTACAGTTGGGGATCAAAAGGGCATTTACCCCTCCCGCAGCTGCCCCCTCCTGCCTGTGGCCTGACACTGGATGCTGGCCCTAGTGGACTCAGGAAGTGTGTGCAGCAGAGGCTCACTTCCTTTGGAGGAGGTGGTTTCTCTCAGCACTTTCTGGTGTACTTCCGGTGAGACAGAGCAGTTTTAACACTTCGTCTCCTTTTCAAAATCTCATTTATTTGTCTGCTGTCTCAGCTGTCATCATTTATGTCACACCGACTACATTCACAGATCATTTTGCAGTTTCAAAATAATTGTCTTTCCATTCTCTGAAGTGATAGAGAGTGGGATTATTTTCTCATGTAACATTTTGTTTTTCTAATAACGAACGCATTTTGCCCTGGCTCACACATTTCATGTAAAAAAATGTCTCTCTTAGAGACAACCAGTTTTGTCTAGGGATGAGACTCCTGACAGGTTACTTAGTCCCAAATGATCAGCCCTAAACACTTACATGGACAAGCAGCGTTAAATGGACTCTGCATTTGTGTCTCTCTGTGTGTTATGTATGTACGTGTGTAACAATAATTAAAGAAAAAGGGGTCATGAATCTTAAATGAAGTGGAGGGATGTGGGAGAAGTTCGAGGGGGAAATGGAGGCATGAAAATGACGCAAATAGAGTATTCGTGTTTGGAAGACTCAAAAAAAGAATGTTAAATTAAAAAAGAAAAGGGTCTTAGGAAAAATTCTTCTTTTCTGAAGCAGCCTGTAGGTGTCACTATGGTCTCACATTTCATTCTCTCAAGCACTCCGAGCACAGCTTCTATCCACTTGGGAACTGTGGGCAAGGATGGTAATTAAGGGGTGATGGGCAGGAGGTCACAGGCTTAGTCATGTGACTTTTCTGGAGAGTTGGAAAGAGTCACCTCTTCCCTCCAGATGCAGCAAAGATGTCTCCTCCAAGCCTGTCTTAGTCAAGCAGCAAATATTCTGGGGTGATTTGCAGACGCTTGGGTGACTGAAGGCAGTGTCCTCACTGAGAGAGCTACTCAGTACTGCATGAGTACTGCATCCTTGGAAGCTCCTGTGCAGGCTATAGACAGCTAGCTCTACTGCAGAAAGTCTCCTCTTCCCCAGAAAGTGCTGGCTGCTCATATAACCTTGGGGGAGGGACTTGTGAGTCTTGACCCTTTGAGTTTCTTGAGTATCTAATTTTCCTTAGGTCCTTGGGTCTTATGAGCCTCCCTCCTCCCTTCAGGAGGGAGTGACTATTTCAGTCCAGGGAAAGCAGCTATGCAACACAGATTGGACCTGGGATTTACATGGCACACCACATTTTTGTTTTTAAAGATAGGGTTTCTCTGTGTGGTTCTGGTTGTCCTGGAACTCGCTCTGTAGACCAGGCTGACGTAGAACTCACAGAGATCCTCCTGTCTCTGCCTCTGCTGGGATTACAGGTGAGTGCCTCAACCATCAGGTCAAATTCTTGGTTTTATTCCCCGTTTGCCCAGCAGGAGGAACTGGACAAAGCGTGAGCTAAAACCAGTGTGTTGACTTATTCTAGAAAGACTTGACATGCCTCCTCGTGACCGACAATGTCAGTAGCATACAAGGCATGTATTGGGAAACTGGAAAGAAGGGAACTGGAGAAGTTCCCATTGCGTTAATGGAATGCACAAAGGAACGAGTCTGTGTCGACTGTGGAGCTGCTTCTCAGTGCAGATCAAATACTTGAGCTGAGTCCAATCAGAAGAGCACACAGATAGCGCCATCTTACAGCCCTTTCTGATGTTTTTGTTTGTTTGTTTGTTTTGAGATAGGGTTTCTCTGTGTAACAGCCTAGTTGTACTGGCACTCACTCTGTATACCAGGCTGGCCTCAATCTCAAACAGATCAGCCTGCCTCTGCCTCTGAGTGCTGGGATTAAAGGTGTGCCCACCATGGCAGGGTTTAAACCTTATTTTGAGATTGCAGTTCCATGGGTGGTGCAGGTGAGGGCATCCTGTGGGTGAGGGGCTTGTGAGTTCTCTCACAGTCAGGGTAACCTAGGTATTGTCTGTGGGTTCAACCCTTTAAGGAAAATGAGGAGGTTACAATTGAGTCCCTTAGATCTGTGTAGCACATTCTACTCCACCCCCAAACTGAGCCCCATCAGAAGATCCAGGAGGCAGGAGTAGGCAGATAAGAGGGATGTTTATCTCCTCCTCACTGCTGTATTGGATGAGTTTAAGCAACACATAATAATACAAGCTAGTTGGTACGGAAGACCATCAGAAGGGTGGAGAGTTCGCACAGAGGTTAAGAGCACTTGTTGCTCTTGTAGAGGACCCAGGTTCGATTCCCAGCACCCACAAGATGCTTCACAAACTTCTTTAATTCCCATCACAGAAGATCTGATGCCCTCTGTGGGCTCCAGTCATGTATACGGTACACATATACACATGCAGGCAAAACGCTCATATACGCAAAAATAACTATATTAATCTTTAAAAAGAAGAGAATCAGAGAGGGGCTCAGTTGTGAACTCCCTGAGTGGAATAATCCAGACCTCCAGGACTCCTGTCCTGATGTCAGGGGTTGGATTTCATGCTGCCTCACGAACAGTGTCATAATGGTTAATCTTCACTGTCATTTTTTTGGTTTAAAATTATGTGGAGTCTGGTTGTATCTGTGGGAGTATTTCTAGGGAGGTTTAGTGTCGGTAGGAAGACCCATCCTGAATGTGGGCGGCATCTTTCCTGGACTGAGGGCAGGGATGGAATGAAATCACCCGTCAGCGTTTGTTGCTGTCTTTCCTGAGTGCAGACAGGAAGTGACCAACTGTCCCATTCTCCCGCTTTCATACCTGGGTGCCACCATGGGCTGTGTGCTGGCCTGAATCACAGTGACTCCCACAGGCTCATAGGTTTGAATGCTTGCTACCCAGTTGGGGGGATGTTTGGGAAGCATTAGAAGGAGTGGTCTTGTTGGAGAGGCTTTGAGGGGCCAAACGTTCATACCATTTCCAGTCAGCTCCCTCTGTCTGCTGCTTGGGGATATAAGCCCCTGATTAAATGCTTTCTTTTTCAAGTTGCCTTGGTCGTGGCGTTTTATCAGAGCATTAGGAGAGTAACCGCGACATGTGTAGCTTTTTATAAACCACGAGCAAAAATTAACCCTTGTTTTAAAATTGTCTTTGTCAGAGAAACGGGTAAGAAAACTAACAGAAGCCCTCCACTTACCTGCTATGGAAGTGACTGTGGCCAGATGCTACTTTTGTCCTGAAGTGTCACCCCTCTCTCCTAAGGAAACAGCTTGAGCTCAGGCAGGGCCGGATGGAAAGACCCTCAAACGGTTCTTATCCAGAAAGAGGATGCTCAGCAAAGGAAGGGATGATGTGTGAAGTTCTGAGGTCCCCCTAAGACATCCAGATCCCGAGACCGAGGAGGCACTGAGAGTGGCCTGATCTTTCTGGATTCCCTCCAGATCCAGTCCACGGAAAGCCCCAATCCTCGTTTTGCAATTTCTACACCTCGGCTCTTCATGCTCTGGCCCTGTACAATGGGAACTACAATGAGGGCTGGTTTGGTTCCTATTTTTGGATATTCGGCCAGTTCCTCACCGTTCTCAGAGAGGCGGAGCCTAACTCCAGGCTTTGCATATTCTGCTCTGAGATGATCACAGTTCAGCCACCTACAGGGTCAGACCTTCCGGGTTGACTGTGTAGAATCTTACGTGGACTCCATCTTCCCAGCTTCTTTCATCTTACCCTGGAGATGAAACTCCATCAACTCCTGGAGCCCCCTGGTCCCTCCGATGGCTGCACACAGTCACCCAGGCTGCTCCCGGACACTGCTTCCTTTCTCAACTGCTCCTCCCACTTTACAGTCTTCATAGGAGAGACGATGTCGTCAAGAGAGTGGGAAAGTGGTCTCCTGTTAGTGCGCAGGTGTCGTAGTGGGAAGAGTGTTGAGAACGGTTTGTTTAATGGCTAACTTCTGGATGGAGCCAGGGCTGGGTTTGTTCCTGTCATAGTAGCACGATCATTGGTAATATTCCCGGGATGGAAGGTGGGGTGGGTGGGTGGACTTCTAGGAAAGGCAGGTGCAGGACACAGGAACCTTGTTTCTTTCGGAAGGTCAGGGTAGCTCTGTCATACCCTCTGCTGTTCCATAATCTCTGGAAGTTCTCCCTGCAAATGGGAATAAGGAGGAGAAGGGGTCGAGGGTGGAGCGGAGCCTGTGCAGTACCCTGGCTGGAGGCAGGTTGGGCAGGATTGGAGCTATGCAACCCTGAATTGTCCAGAGTCTTGCTCTGGAGACCCGAGCACAAATTGTGCCCGATTTCCTCTCTCTTGTGCCTCAATGCCACCCCTGTTTCCGTGTGCCTGACTCCCTCCCACTCAAGCAGGCAGGGGTTGAGGGCAGATGGAAGAACCTGCAAGCCAGTATCAAAGAGTTGCCACTGTGACTTCCTTCAGTACCAAGCACTGGCTCAGCCTGTCCTTTTCTCTCCCTTTTATCTATCTGTCTGTGTTTCTGTCTGTCTGTCTGTCTTGGATTTCTAGTGAAAATCTCACTCCATGTTCCTAGTGGCCTGGAAGTCTGTGTATAACTGGAAGCCATCAAGGGGATTGCATCCTTCATTCCCCCTATTCCCCCCACGAACAAGAATTGAATGACAGGAAAACACTGAAGACCAAGCCAGACTTGGGAACTGGACCTGGGTCTAGGCCTTGTCAGTTTTAATTAGCTATGCCGCATACCTCACCACACAAGATGACAGTTTCTGTAATAAGTCGTTTCTGAAACCAAACCACTTCCTCTCATAGCATTCAAAGCTACACCGGAAGCTGAGGGAGAGGAAGCCCAGGCCTGAACTTCTTGGTGGAAAACTCCAGGAAGATAAGCCCCCTCTTTACAAGGTGGTGGGGTCAGAGAACCAGGTCCAGTCAGGAAGAAAGGACTAATGGACCACAAACATGTTCACCTGTCCTTCTTAAAACAAAGCAATTCTGTTTTCCTCCTTTATCTGTTTCCATAATTTCTTAGAAAGTCTAGTTTTATTAACTCTTTGAGTATTTCATGCATGCACACAACACATTTTGAGCATATTCACCCCCACTCATTTCCTAAATCCTAGGTCAACTCCTCCTTCCTGCATTTCCTTCCAACTTCATGTCCTTTTTTTTGTTTTGTTTTGTGAGGCAGGGTGTCTCTGTATTGCTTTGGAGGCTGTCCTGGAACTCACTCTGTAGACCAGGCTGGCCTCGAACTCACAGAGATCCACCTGCCTCTGCTTCTCGAGTGCTGGGATTAAAGGTGTGTGCCACCAACACTGGGCTCTTTCTCTTTTTTCATTATAATGCAGAGTCTAGTTTGTGCTGCCCATATACCCTTGAGTGTGGGTCCACTTTGTTTTCCTACCAGGAGTCTTGCCCACCCTTAAAGGAAATGGATTTTCCCTCTCACAGATTCCATACCTCAGCGGAGGGGACTCAATGTACTCAGGGCACAGTCTATCAAGCTCCAAAACCTCCATGCATTGATACATTTACCCCCATGCCCATTATCAGACCATAGAGCTGGCCTTAGATTTCCCATGACTTTCTGCATGTTTGTTCTCTGTACTTTGTTGGACTGATAGGAAAGAAAGATCGATGCTTGCTTGTTGCTTAGGATGACATTGGATGTGCAGACAGACCTTGGCATGCCTCCCTGTGTGGTAGTTTGAAGTAATTGGCCCCATAAGCTCTTAGGGAGTGGCACTACTAGAAGATGTGGCTTTGTTGGAGTAGGTACAGCCTTGTTGGAGGAAGTGTGTCTCTGTGGGGGTGGGCTTTCAGGTCTCTTTTGCTCAAGTTGCCCTCCATGTGACTTTCAGACCATTTCCTGTTGCCTGCAATGTAGGACTCCTTGGAGTTAAAGACAGAAGAAAAGGCTTATGGACTTTGCCTCCCACGCCTAAGGAAAGTTGTTGAGGCTAGTCATGTGTCAGGGGTGTCTCTGAATAGAGGCCTAGAGAGGCCATTGTATGAAGCTGTGAAGTTGAAGTCGGACTGCATTAGGGATCTCAAGATGTTGTAGATACTGGAGTTGTGGGATACCTGCTGAAGAGAGCTAATAATGGGAGTCGAATCATCCTAAGAGAAAAAAGTGTGTTGCAGTCAACAAAGCTGAACGGAGTTGGAGATCTGAAGAGCATTTGACATCAGACATGGAGATGCAGAGTTTGGAGTTTGCTTGGGTGGTTTTTAGTCCTGCTTTGGTCTAGCATTTCCTCATTGTGCTCCCTTCCCTATGTTTTAGAATGGTGATGTACAAGCCTGTGTCATTATATGTTGAAAGCATGTGATCTGATTTTTGGTTTTTGCAGGTGATTTAAGTTTAGAGATTACATGAATCTCAGGAGACTTTGAAATTTGGATTTTCATTTTAATTAAGTAATTACGTAGGTTTTTTTGAGATAAGGTTTCTCTGGGTAGCTTTATAGCCTGTCCTGGAACTCATTCTGGTCTCTAATTCACAGAGACCTGCCTGCCTCTGTCTCCCAAGTGCTGGGATTAAAGGGATGCACCACCATCACCTGACTGAACTTTGGACTTTTAAATGTTGTTGAGATTGTGATAGACTGTGGAGACTTCTGAAGTTGGATTAAATGCTTTTTGCATTATGATATGGTTATAAGCTTATCGGGGCCAGGGAGTGGAATGTGGTAGTTTGAATATATTGGCCTCCATAAGCTTGTATGGCGAGTTAGGAAGTATGTGGCTTTGTTGGAGTAGGTATAGCTTTGTTAGGGGAAGTGTGTCAATGTGGGGGCAGGCTTTGAGGTCTCTTCTGTTCAAGCTTCCCTCAATGTGACTATCAGACCATTTCCTGTTGCTTGCAAGATGTAGGACTCTCAGCTACTTCTCTAGCAATATGTCTGCTTGCATGCCATTATGCTCTCTGCCATGATGATAATGGACTGAAACTCTGAAACTATAAGTGAGCCACCCCAATTAAACGTTTTCTTTGTAAGAGTTGCCGTGGTTATGGTGTCTCTTCACAGCAAAAGAAACCCTAAAGGAACCCTAACACAGGGTTTCGACCAGGTTAGCCTTGAACCCCCTGCTTCTGCCTTCCAAGTGTGCACCACTACTTCCTGGCTGGGTAGTTACTTGTATGAGTTATTTTTCTTGTTGCTGTGATAAAATACCCTGGTAAAAACGATAAAAAGAGAAGGAGTTTATTTTGGGTCACAGTTCAAGGCTACAATCCATTGTAATGGAGAAGGCAAATGATCACATAGCATCTGTAGTCAGGGAGCAGAGAGGTGAACGCTGGTGCTCAGCTGACTTCCTCCATTGTATGCAGCACAGGGCTACAGCCTAGGGACCTGTGATGCCCACATTTTAAAAAAATTTTAAATAGCTTGTTTTACATGTCAATCCCAGTTCCCTCTCCTTCCCCTCTTCCTGCACTCCCCTATCCCCCCCAGCCTCCCACCCTATTGCCAATTCCTTCCACATAGGGGATATCTAGAGTCTGTCATTTCACTCAGGGTAAGGTCCAGGCACTCCCCTAAGAGTCCAGGCTGAGAGAGCATCCCTCTTTGTGCTGTGGGCACACGATGACTGTTTGTATACCAGGGATAGACACTGATCCACTGTTCAGGGCCCCATAGGCTGCCCAGGCCTTCTCACTGACACTCACATTCGGGGGTCCAGAACAGTCCCATGCTGGCCTCCCCACTATCAGTCTGGGGTCCAAGAGCTCTCCCCTGTTCAGATCAGCTGTCTCTGCTGGTTTTGCCAGCCCATTCTTTGCCAATTTGATCATCACTCCTCTCTCTCTGTCACTGGGCTCCTTGGGTTCAGTTCAGTGCTTAATTGTGTGTGTTTGCCTCTGCTTCCATCAGTCACTGGATGAAGGCTCCTGGATGGTTATAGACACCAAGTTCATTATCAGGAATGGGCATTCGAGGTGGTCTCTCTACTATTGCTTAGCTTGCCAATTGGTGTCATCCCTTTAGATCACTAGAGGTCACTCTGGTGCCTGATCTGTCTTCTAACCTATGATTCCCTCTTCCCTCTATTCTACCCCCCCCCACTCAAACTTCTTGTTCCCCCATGACCTAGTCTCTCTTCTTCTTCTCCCCCTCTCTTCTTCCCAGCTCCCACTCCCCCCCACCCCTCGCCGTGTTCCCCATTCATTCAGAGGATCTTGTCTCAATCCTCTTCTCTTGGGTACTATGCATATCTTTTAGGTTCTTTCCTGTTTCCCAGACTCTCTGTCAGTGGAAGTGCAGACTGGCACTATCCTGATCCATGTCTAAAATCCATATATGAGTGAGTACATACCATGTTTTTCTTTTTGCGACTGGGTTACCTCACTCAGTATGGTTTCTTCCAGTGGTATCCATTTACCTGCGAATTTCAAGATTCCATTGTTTTATTTCTGCTTAGTAATACTCCATTGTGTAAATGTACCACATTTTCTCTATATACTCTTCAGTTGAGGAGCATCTAGTTGCTTCCAGGTTCTGGCTATTACAAATAATGCTGCTATGAACATAGTGGAGCAGATGCCCTTGTTGTATGAATTTGCCTCATTTGGATATATGCCTAAGAGTGGAATTGCTGGGTCTTGTGGTAGATTGATTCCCATTTTCCTGAGGAATCTCCATACTGATTTCCAAGTGGCTGTACGAGTTGGCACTCCCACCAGCAGTGGAGTAGTGTTCCCCTCTCTCCACATCCTCTCCAGCATAAATTGTCTTTGGTGTTTTTGATTTTAGCCATTCTGACAGGAGTAAGATGGTATCTCAGAGTTGTTTTGATTTGCATTTCCCGGATGGCTAAGGAT